CCAGACACATTTGTGGGGGCAGAGCTGCTAATAGAACAGGCTATGGACTAGGTAGGGATCAGGGTAGAGGTCAAAGCCTGAACTATCCTATATAATAAAAGGCTAATATGCAAATTGATCAAACGGCAGAATGACCGGTCGCTATGACGCACACTGACCACCAGAAGGCAGACGCTCAATGCAGGAGCTGCCCCCTGGTGGTCAGTGGGCTCCCAGAGGGGGGGCGCCATTCAGCCAGAAGCCAGGCTCACGGCTGGCGAGCACAGCAGCGGTGGCAGGAGCCTCTCCCACATCCGTGGCAGTCCGACCTCCCCTGAGGCTCCCTGACTGCGAGAGGGCGCAGGCCGGGCTGAGGGACCCCCTGCTTAGTGCATGAATTTCATGCACCGAGTCTCTAGTATTATAGAAATCTCTAAGAACGTTAGATTAGAATTTGATATGGATCGACAACGTACTAGATTGATACCCCAAGAGAGGTCCATAGAGGTGGGTTAAGAGTGCTGTCTCTAGCCCTAGCTGGTTTGGCTCAGTGGATAGAGCATTGGCTTGTGGACCAAAGGGTCCCAGGTTCGATTCTGATCAAGGGCACATACCTTGGTTGCAGGCTCCTTGGGTTGCAGGCTCCTCCCAGACCCAGGCCCTGGTCAGGGCTCATGCAGGAGGCAACCAATTGATGTGTTTCTCTCACATCAATGTTTCTCTTACCCTCTCTCTTCTACTCTCCCTAAAAATCAATGGAAAAATTATCCTCGGGTGAGGATAAATAAATGGTTTCTTTAAAAAAAAAAAAAAAGAGTGTTGTCTCTAGAGACCTGCTATCTAGGTTCAAATAGTATTTGTGCAATTTTTAAACTATGTAACCTTGGACACATTAATCTCTACTTTATCTCTCTATACCTCAATTTTCTCACCCACGAAGTAGGGATAATAATGGTACCTGTGTCATAAGGTTGTTGAAGGGTTAACTAGGTTAATACATGTTGTTATTACTAAGGAGAATGGCTTTGGATGGCACCAAATTTATGATGAGGATTTTATGTGCAAATGCAGGGCTGAGGCAGAGTTAAGTAGCAGGGTCTGGAGATAGCAGAATTTCTTTGGATAAATGAGTGCAAAGAATTTGGAGTTTAGGGTGGGTGAACAATCAGAGAAGAGAGTAAAGTAGAGAAATAGGGAGAGAGGAAATTTTAAAAGCAATTTCAAATTTACAATAGTAGTTAAGAACAGGTATATTTAATTCGAAATTGTTTATGTTGCTGAGATCTAAACCACCACAAAAATAAAATGGTGCAATACTCCTTGGAGAGTAATTTGGCACTATCAAAATTAAAATGTATATATTTTTGACCCTTTAATTCTATTTCCAGGAATTTATCCTACCTTGGTACTTGCAAACAGACTCATGTCCTTTTTGCAAAACCAGAGTTTAGGAACCACCACCTGTCTATCAATGGAATACTATGTGTCCATTAAAAATATTGAGGCAAGGTTATACATATTATACAGTATAGCTATGCAATAGAATACTATGTGTCCATTAAAAATATTGAGGCAAAGTTATACATATTATAGCCAATCTAAAAAAGAGTTTAAAAAAAAAACTATGAACAAATTCCTATGCACACTGCACATATCTTATTTTGAAGTAAAAAAACAAAACAGGAACAAATACAATATTTGTATTTGCATGTGGCCCGCGGGCCATAGTTTGAGGACCCCTGATCTATGCAATAGAATACTATGTGTCCATTAAAAATATTGAGGCAAAGTTATACATATTATAGCCAATCTAAAAAAGAAATACATATCTCAGGCAGCGGGAGAGCCTAAGAATCAATGGAAGCAGTCATGCCAAAGCCCAAGCCAGAGTCTAAACACCTGGAAGAATTTAGAGGCTTCATACTTGGAGTGGCTGGTGGGGGTAATGAGGGATGAGAATCGCAAAGCCTCCCACAGAGTTGCATGGAGGGAATATCATCCTAACAGCAGGCAGGGAATTAGCAAAGGGGAAGGTCCTTGATAATTCCTTTAAAAACATCAGGTGTTTGTAGGTCCCATGCAGAAATCTGTAGTTTTTGGTCCCTGGGTGGGTCTGGTTTGCTAAATGCCCTGGGGACAGACTGAGGAAGGGTAGTAGTGGAGCAGGATGATGGGGTGAGGAAAATATGGGTGGGTAATCAGTTATGTGAATTTCAACCAGCTTTTCAACTGAGCTCAAAGGATATTCATCAAAAGATTGATATCAACAAAGAGAGGGGCCTCACTGTCTTAGTAAATACATATATATTTTAATGTTTTTATTGACTATAGAGACAGGAAGAGAGAGGGTGATAGTAACATCCATGAGAGAGAAACATCGATCTGCTGCCTCCTGCACCTCCCTGCTGGGGACTGAGCCCGCAACCAGCAGCCCCAGCATGTGCCCTGACTGGGAATCAAACCAGCGACCTCTTGGTGCATGGGTTGACGATTAACCCCTAAGCCACACCTGCCAGGCTGACTAAATATTTTTTTAAATCAGTGACTTAGATCAGCAATTTTCAACCTTTTTCATCTCATGGCACACATAAACTAATACTAAAATTCTGCAGCACACCAAAAAAACATATTATTATTATTATTAATATATTTTTTGCTGATCTGACCAAAAAACAGGTATAATTTTGATTCATTCACACTGGACAGCTATTGTTGTGTTGGCTCTTGTCATTTTAAAATTTGACAATCTCAGGGAAAAGAGGTCAGTGCCTCTGACTAAATAATCAGGTATTGTGTGTTTTAAAAATTCTTGTGACACACCACTTGAAAATTGCTGACTTAGATGATGATCTAGCTGGGACAGATAATTAATAGAATGGATGATAGAAGCAAGAATTAAAATAATCTTGACAGATTAGAACAAAGTGCCAAAACCAACAAGAAATTTGACAGGGATAAAGTGAAGACTTAAGTTTAGGTTTTTAAAACATCAATTGTACAGAAAGGAGTGAGACTGGCTTGACAGCATTTGTCGTGAAAAAGGTTTGGGTCTCACTAAATCCAGTTCCTTGTCACTGTTTCGTGAAAAGACAATGTCAGATCAAGAGAGCTCATAGTCTCACCATGTTTTGAACTGACCAGTTCTGACTTCCCGGAAGATATTGATGAATTAGTGTATACCAGTGAGAGATCAGGTTGGGAAAAAGTCCAGTAACTTCACCAGGTGAGGAAGAACGGGTCGAGTTTGGACATGTTAAATATGGGGAAGAGAAGACTAAGGTGCATAAATAATAGTTGTCCTCAAATGGCTGTTTTTGATAAGTATAAGGCTAACACTATGAAATTGCCAATGTTTAACCATTTTGATCCGTAAACTGGCAATTTCATTTGGCTCAACCTAGTAGAAGAGGATGGAAACTCTTTTTGTAATGCTGCAGAGACAAATGAGAATCAATGGGTGAAAGAGGGAAGCAAAGATTATATCAACATAGGAAGGAGTTTGTCACAATCAGATGCTCTAGAGCAGATTGAGCTGCCTTACAACGTTCTAGGTTCCTTGTCACCGAGAGAGCCCAGGCAGAGCTGGGCAACAGTCTCTTGAGGATATTTAGAATTTTCTGCATTCAGTGGGAGACTCCGTGATCCAGCCTGAGTCTCCAGTCTCTCCAGCTGAACTCCACAATACCAAGACAACACAGCAGGCTGCTGGGAATGCCTTGGCCATTCTGTGTTGTCTTCTACTGCTGTGTCTCTGTGCATATCAATCCTAGAATTTCACATCTCCTAACTATGCACCCTTCAAATTCCTACTCACCTCTGCAGACTCAACTCAAGCGTAGGCCCATCTGAACTCTCCAAATGGTCTGCCATACTCTCGCCTATGCACTTGTACCTGCTGCTTACTCTGTAGTGTCACTTAACATTCTTTTGTAATTTTTTGTGGGCCCGTCTCTTTCCTACTAAGTGTGTGTGAGCTGCTTGTGGGCCAGAAACAGCTCTTCCATCTTTATATCCCCAGTGTTGTAGCAGATTTTGTAGCTTCATATTCTTTTAATAACATTAAATGAATGCATAATATTAATATTGGATGTTTTGATTATATAGGTAAAATTTAAAAAAATATTACCTATGCATTTTAATAAAATATTAATTATTCAAAACTAATGCCCTTACCTTGGGGGATACACATTGATATTTTCTATTTTATTTTGTTCATTTTAAAAAATAGAAGTCATAATCTAGGTTCCAAAATTAATGTAGGTCTCCAGCCTTATTCTGAAAAACACTAAACTATATAGTCAAGAGCAGGGATTTGAGCTCTGGCCTGGTAGCTCATTTGATTAGAGTGTCATCCTGATACGCCAAGGTTGCAGGTTCGATCCCTGGTCATGGCACATATAAGAAGCAACCAATGAATGCACAAATAAGTGGAACAACAAATCAATATGCTTCTCTCTCTCTCTCTCTCTCTCTCTCTCAAATCAGTTAAAAAATAAAAAGAGCAGGGATTTGAATGGAAGGTATGAGAACCTAATGGAAGCTGTGGGCCTTCTTGCCAGAAAGATGCATGTGTGCACTAAATTGACATTCAATTTCAGAGGCTCCTTGTACCCACTAAATCCTTCTGTGCATCATGGGTTATGAGAGTTTCATCTAACTTCTGTTTTTCTGAGAAGCATGTAGACATAGGCTAGGAACATCTAAGAGTCACCCAGAGAGAGAGCAGAAAATTGGAAGGGAGGTGCCTAAAGAACAAAGACTAGAGGGACAATTCTGGGGTGGGGCAGGCAGGACAGTTAAGTACCTGTGAAAGGCAAAGGAGTGGGGAGCAGAGTAAATCCTGGTTAAGGGTTAGGAGGAAGGAAAGGTGCAGCACCCCTGGGCCCGGAGATTGGGCCTGCTGATCTGATATTCTTTCCAAACTATGGGGCTTTCTTCTCTCCTCCCTATGGCTCACTTTCCCTTCCTCCCCTTTAGGCAGCCCTTATGGAAACTCTGAAACTTTTCCTCTTTTCTTCCAGATGGGGAGCTCTGGCAGAAAAAGTGTTCTGGCCCGTGTGCAATGACGCCGTTCTCTCTGCCAAGGGATCAAGTTAAAATCTGCTTTCCTGGAAACCAGCTAATGTCTTTAGGAAGCATGACCCTAGTTAGGGAGAGATTGGGACCGTTGGATAAAGAAGGGATAGGAAAATATTTTTCAGCTTTCGCTGATATAGTAACTTACAAGGATAAAATATGAACACCGCCCTAGCCCGTTTAGCTCAGTGGATAGAGCGTTAGCGTGCGGAATAAAGGGTTCGGTTCCAGCCAAGGGCACATGCGCAGGTTGTGGGCTCGATCCCCAGTAGGGGGTGTGCAGGAGGCAGCCAATCAATGATTCTCTATCATCATTGATGTTTCTGTCTCCCCTCCTCTTTGAAATCAATAAAGAAATATATTTTTAAAATAAATAAATAAAATATGAGCACCAACAAATAATTTAAAAATGGAATCTCCTGTTTCTGAGATCTAAACTCAGGATCACAGACTTGATAAGGTCTTCCTTGAATCTTAGGTAATTCTAAAGTGTTTTCAACAACATGTCAAGGAGACAACAAACATATATCTCACATTCCACAGGATATATAGGGAAAGGGACATAAGCATAACACAATTGATTTCCTATTGCCCCTCGGGAATTTGGGGGTTGTGAGAAGTTCTGTAAAATCCAGGAAGCCCAGGACATTATTATAGTCCATTATTAACATGGCTAAGGGAAAAAGAATGAAATTTGGGGTGGGGTTAGGAACCTGAGTTATGTGCCTAGATAGGCCCTGACTCACTCTGCGATGATGGCCAGACACTTCCTGGCTCAGTGTTCCAGGCCCCCTTTCCCCCAGCCCCTTCGCCTGCCCAAGTGAAATAAAATAATAATTTTATTCTTTCTTAAGAAAGTTAAACCTGATTGTTTCTATAAAGCACTCTGGAAAATAGCCAGCCTCTGAGTGTAGCAATGTGAGATGATTTTATTCATTTTATAACCAATGTCCTGGGTGATACCTAAACCATGAGGGCTATAAACTTCTTTATTTTTGTTGGAATCCTCAGTTGGGGAGGAAATACATAGGTGTTCCACTTCCTCTTCTCTTCTGTCTGTTCTGTCTTCTGGGAATGACACTGTTGTGTTGCTAAAAGGTCCGCGGGGAGATATTTGGGAGATAACTGGGTAACACCCAACTAGGTCAGGGAATGAGTCAGGGCTCAAGGACTCGATACCAACCTCTCCCACTCCTGCCAGGAAACCTCCTGGGGTGAGACAGAGATGAGAAGGGAGCCAAGGGGCGGGCCTCACGGCTGCCTGCCCTGGGGCCTCTGGCTGGCTGTTTCACCCTGGTTTGCCCTGCAGCTGGACTGTGTCTGCTGACGTGCAAGCCGTGACACACTCTCTCTCCCTCTCTCCTGAACCTCTGCTCAGTCTCAGAAACAGATGGCCCATCCCACCCCACAAGTGACTCTAAGAGAGATGAGAAGGAAGGGGAAGAACCGAACCAGGTGGAGATCTATCCCGTCAGAAAACAGGGCAAAATACAAGAGACATTTGTCTAGGAGGTGAAGAGGAAGTAGAAACTGCATTCTCCTCTGACGAATCAGGATAAGAACAGAAGAGCATCGTTGCAGGGCTGACACAGATGATAGAACAGGATTGAGAGCTAAGGCTGAGAAGGACCAAGTAATATTAGCCTGAAATCCTGTAAGACTCAAGAGCAAAATGGCAAAAAAAATAAATAGTCACAATTCTTGTTTGGAGGTCCTCAGCTCTTGCAAATCCATCTCTCTTTCATCACCATCAACCCCAGTTGGTGGCAATTCTTAGACCTCTCCTCCAGGACAAAAAACAAAACCATTTTAGGCACCTAATGTCTACCAGTCACACGTTTCCATAAATGATTTCACGTAGTAGTGCTCACAACAGCCTTACCGTGTATGTTTTATTATCATCGCCATTTCACAGAGGGGTACACTGAGACTTTAATCACTCAGAGGATTAAAGTGATTTGTTCATAGAGTTTGAAAGTCGTGGGGTCTGTACCAGTTACCAGAGTCCCCAGAGATTCCATTATACCAAATTGCCTTTGATATAAAGTCAAATCAAGTCAAAATAGTAGAGATTTCTTAAAGCTCCCCAGGAGCAGTAAGGAGCAGACCAAGTAAAGAGCAATGGGCAGAGATCTCTAACTCTCCAAAGGTAGGTATTTTAAATCCTGGAATTGTTGGGTTTGCACAGGCCTCCCTGCAGTCTGAGATCCCCGTGCAGCCTTGGTACCCTCTAGTGGAAGTTTTCTGCATTCACACAGCTTCCCTTCAACCCCAAAGAGCTGGAGAGCATCCCAAAAGAATGGTCAGCTGGAAGGTACATGTTTGTAAGTCAGAGTCCATGGCTGGTAAACAGAAGAATACAGACTAAAGGTATGCTAAGCACTTGGTTCACAAGGGGCCCCAAAGGGAGTCCTTGCCAGTGTATTATAAATGAGCTCAGGCCTTTGTGCATTATTAATAAGAGCTCAATACACATCACAGGAGACTGGAGGCTTTTAGGGCTCTAGAGAGTGACTTTTTTTAAAAAAAATGAGGAAAATTAGTGGTCAGAGATGTGAAGTGACTTTCTTTAAGGCAGGGTCAGTCAATGTCAGCAATGGTGGGACTCGAACCCATGTCTCCTGCCTCCCAACCCGGAGCCCTTCCCACTGCATCACACTTTTATATTTATTGACTGTAGACATAAATTGATGTGCATATAAGGACATGGGGTTGTAGGTATAATCAGCAAGTTGTTTTCCCTTCGTCTGCCCAGAATCTATACACTTTCCAATTTTTTGTTCAACATGTTTATAGAATGCCTATTATTGCCAAACACTACTCTAGGAATTGCTTTTACAGGGCACCCCAGCTCATGACAACAGTTCCCAGGCTCCTGAACCCCGTGTCTACAGCCCTCCTGACACTCCTGGAGCTTCTTCCCCATTTCCCAGTGCTAACGTGTGTCGTCAGATTTCTTTCTGTCTCCCTCCTCCAGCGGAGGTAATCCCTGGAGCAGAAGTGGGTTAGAAACAGATTACTCTGATCCAGGGGCTTTGTTCTCTCTTCTCTAAACGTGGCTCTTGTGTGTGTGTTGGGGGGGGGGGGGGGAGGAGTAGGAGGGGGAAGAGACGGTGTCACAAATAGCTTGAAATTCCCTTTTAGGATTATTGCTCGATTTAGCCAGCTGGGGCGAAAGTGGAGCAAGAAGAGGCTAGGGATTAATTCTAGACCTAGCTTCAAGAGCGGGAAGCATGGGCTTCTTTTCTGGCTGAGCTGGAATGAGCAGTATCTTTTTCTAAACATACCTTTCGAGATAAGGAGTCCGAGGCAGGCAGAAACGGTAAAGGGAAAGGCCTTTGCCCTCAGCAGTCGGGCTGAGTGGGAGGACAGATGAGAAAGAATAACAGCTAGGAGAAGAAAGTCGTGCAGCCCAGAAATAAGAAATCACTTTGGACTTGGAAACAGACCTGCCTCTAGGTGGTCTTAGTTTCAACAGAGGTGAGAACTGCTCCCTAGGGGGCCACAGCTAACACACAGGACTTCCTGGGGATTTCCAGCGCCTATCTGGGTTAGGAGCTGTCTTGCTTTAGGGACATTGCACTGGGGTGGACTCTGGGGGCAGGGATGCTATCTGTGTCCAGCACAAAGAGCAGTGACACATAAGCAGGACTCTGCTAGGCTCTGTACATCCCTTCCAGGGTCATAGGGCTGGGAAGCAGTGGCCATAACTAACCAGAATGGGAACATGTATTAACTCATTTAATGATTTAATAACAATTCTATGAGTTAGGTACGTATTTACCCCCTTTGTATAGGTGAGGGAAAGAGGTGGAGCTAAGATGTAAACTTAGGCACTATAGCATTCTCAACCATTATGTGAGAGTCATAGATAGTTAACTCCTGGAGTGACAAAGAAGCCCTGCTAACATTGTTAGCTGGAAATCACTTGAGAACATTTCCTAGAAAGTCGGAATTCTTGGCTTTTCTATTCCTCTTTATCTTGGAGAACTCACCTCTGTTCTTCATGCTCTCAGGGAAGGAAGTACAACAGGAATACATGGTAAACCTATTGCTTGCATTGTAATCAATAAATACATTGTAATCAGATTCGTTCAGTTCTCCAGAAGGATTTTTCTTCTTTGAATCAACTGTGCTCCTCTTAGAATGCAGGCTACCGGAAAGAACTGCAGGAATTTCAATCTTAGATGCCACCTGCCCTGGGAGGGGGGGAAAATGCAAGTACACGCCCCCACTGCTTATGAGATATCCCATTCTTTTTGGCTCCGTTTAGAAATTTCAAAATTTGGAGAAATAAGAAATCAATTTTGCCTTCTGCTTCATCATATTTCATCTGGGATTCTATTCATTTATTGAATAAATACTTGAATGTCTACTATGTGCAAGACTGTCCTTTGCGAGGCTGAGCCCCTAACCACTTTATTCCTCCCTCTACTTGCACGAGTTCCCTTCTCTTGCTTTTTCTGAAATGTGAATTACTAGGGTTACAGAATTAAGAAATATCCCGTGGTGTTACTTTCCCAGCAGACAGCTCCCAATTTTCCATGGAGTTAATGAGATAGAAAGATATGAATTTTCCAAAAGAGCAGCTAATAGGAAAAGAGAAGCTCATTCATTCATCTCAGAATGAATTAAATGATGTTAACTTCCCTTATTATTTCATCCATGCTGATATGAAACAAATTTGCATTCCTTGAGAAGCTGATCAGAGGGCAGGCAGAGGATGATCTGTGATGTGTTGGCTACCATGCGAGGCCAACATAAACTCAACAGTGGAGCAAATAATCCCAGATTATATCAATGTTCTGTATTAATCAATAACTACTCAGTGGAGTGGGTTTTTTTTCACTTCGGTGGTGAGACAAGTAAAATAAAAATTTCATGTTTTATTTTCTGGGGCATAGATTGACAGAAGTCTGTTAAGAAATGACTAGATATCTCTCATTTAACTGCTTAATGATATATGTTCTTTAATTAATACATATGGCAACTAACTTCATGTTGCTATTAGTGTGTAATGCTATAGGTTCAGTGCTGTGGCTAGGGCTGATAGGGAATTCTTACCTTTGAAGAATTTGCAGTAGAGTTGAGAAGTCAAGATTTAAGACAATGCATGTGATCCCCAAACCCAAAAGTAATCTCTCTCTTTCCTTTCATAGTCCTTAGCATTTTACCCGGAACTTTGTAGCAATTCTATTCCAGCCAGTAAGCTCTTTTTGTACATACCATAGTTTCTGACTCATTGCAAAATACTGTAGGTAAGTGCTCAATAGACACTTAATTGTCAGGATAAGATAAGAACCTATGGGTAAGTGGAAAGTGTTTGCCATTCAGCAATGATTACAGCACTGGATTTTCCAGGATGATGCCAACATCATGCATCCTTAAACAACTGAATGTGAAGCAGGACAGCCTAGTAGTTCATGGGTTCTAGAATTAGACTGCTTGGATTTGAATCTCAGTTCTGCCAATTATTAGCCATCGAATCTTTTTTAAAATTATATTTTTATTGATTTTTAAAAATATATTGTATTGATTTTTTACAGAGAGGAAGGGAGAGGGATAGAGAGTTAGAAACATTGATCAGCTGCCTCCTGCACACTCCCTATTGTGTATGTGCCCACAACCAAGGTACATGCCCTTGACCAGAATCGAACCTGGGATCCTTGAGTCCGCAGGCCGACGCTCTATCCACTGAGCCAAACCAGTTAGGGCTATTTTTATTGATTTTAGAGAGGAAGGGAGAGGGAGAGATAGAAACATAAATGATGAGAGAGAATCATTGATTAGCTACCTCCTGCACACCCCACATTGGGATCGAGACCCAGGCATGTGCCCTTGACCAAAATCGAACCCTGGACCCTTCAGTTGGCAGGCTGATGCTGTATCCACTGAGCCAAACCGGCCAGGGCTAGCATCCAATCTTAATTAAAATTTGTAATTTCTCTGTGACCCAACCTCCTATGTAAAAGGAGAATATTACTCTTGTTTGTGGTGAGAAGTAATTTAATTAATACATGTAAATGCTTAGAAAATTGCTTGGCACCCGGTAAACATTTCTAAGTGTAAACTATTATTTGTTCATGTTAACCCCATGCCTCTGTCCCAAAATGACAGATAAGAAATGTTTTTGTCGTCCACGTGTCTTTTGCTTCAATAAACGCAGTAGCCAGTATGTTTGTTCAATAAACATACTAGTCATCTGACATTAAGAAAAAATTTTCTTTACACAGTACAGATTGGGAAAACTAGGGCTTAAGTTTAAGGTCACACAGCACATTGAGGTCAGATACAGACCCAGAAACTAATCGTGATTGCCTATCTGGGATCAAAGTAGGCATTGGGAAAAAAAACACTGGTCTCGGAAGAGCCACACCTTTTCATCAGCCTCCGAACTGAAACCAGGTGCAGCGCCGGCCCAATCACATAAGAATGCAGCAACTCCGGGCCGCCTGCAAGCCTCCTGCACAGGGAATGCAGCAGCTCCGGGCCGCCTGCAAGCCTCCTGCACAGGGAATGCAGCAACTCCGGGCCGCTTGCACGCCTTCTGCGCAGGCGCAGCTCGCGCTCCAGCGCTCCCGGGTGGGCGCGTGACAGCCGTGCGCTCCCCCCTCCCCCCAACGCCGTCTCAGTGCGCACGCGTAGTCTACCCGCCACGCGCACGTGCGCGTTCACGCTGCTCACACTTCGGCGAGGGGCGCGCGCCCTGGAAAATTCCACACCCGAGCCAGCTCCACCCTACGCGCCTTCTCTCCGGTCCCAGGCTCTTCACTCTTAGTCCCCAACCCAGAAGCCTTTGCGCGGACAAAATGGCTGCCCCCATGCCGCGGGGGCTGTCTTGCTTATCCAGGGCTTTAGGATGGTGGTCTCGACAG